CATAGGCTACGTTCACACTGCAGGCACAATTGACCCAAATCTGATTTCTGCTCATATGTGACTCTGATCTGATTTTTGCAGTTGCAACAGCACAAACCACATGGAATCGGATCTTTTCAATTCAATTCTGATTTGGGACACTCTCATATGTGGTTCAAATCAGATATGGGTAAGACTTTTAGTAATCATACAGAAATCATACATGTGGCTTTTTTGTCACCTTAGATCTACATTTGTCATGTGGGTCATTTCAGGACAGTAACCACACTGGTATCCACCTTAAAAAAAGATCTGAGCAATAAATCAGAATTTAACCACTATGGCTTGCAGTGTGAACAGAGCCATAATGACAAACCCTGACAAACTTCAGCATCTTTCAGCTCGTTGTTTTGGTTGGTTGGTTGGTTATTATTTTGTTTTGGTTTTGCATATATGGCTACACTGTTATTATGTACTGTTATTATTTTTTCCCAAAATGTCATTATTTGACGACCTGGGAATGAGCTTCAAGAATTTTTCAAAATTTTTAAAAAGCTACCTACTGCAGCTTCAAATGTGGATGTTGAATGATTCATGATGTCAACTCATCCACTGAGTAACAACCAGTCTATAGCTAGCTAACCTTAACTAGTAACACAGTAAGCATGTTAGACTTGGCCAGCTTGTGCTGCATCCACAGTACCTGCAGGAAATATCATAGTCTGGCCTTTTAGATTGTATGGTCAGTTATAGCTGACTAATGTATGTAAAGCTGCCACTGCAGGAACAGTGATTAAATAGCCTTCAATAACCATAACTCTATAAGGTGATAATGTGTCAAAGTCAAGTTTCCAGCGTTACCATAAATATACAATATACCATCTTCCAAAAAACTAAATCTTATTTAAAGGTCAAGTGTGTAGAATTAGTGGAATGCAGCAGTATAGTTGAAAATCGCAACTCCCTTGCTTCACCCTTCCCGTCCAAGTGTGATGAAGAAACTACGGTTGCCATGAAACATGAGAAAATCTACAACCAGTGTTTGATATGTAACCCCTAACCATAAAAAACAATGATTCCTATGTTCAGGTGATTATACACTAATGAAAACATACCTATGAATATTATATTCCATTTCTGACAAAAGATCCTCC